CAAATTTACATGTCCACCAACAACACATGAGCTTCTTTTTCAGCATCCTTAGTAGCTTTTGTTGAGAATAGATTTTTTAAATGGGAAGTGAAAACAAAGGCCTGGGATGTTAAACAGAAGAAATGGGGTGGGGGGCTAAACACTGATAAGATGAAGGACAATGGGTTAAAGTGGCAGATTGAAGAATCTATAAGAACTGTGAAAATGACTTGTTACCCAAGGTCTTCTGCAACAAGAGTAGAGACCTGCAGCATGGAGTTTTCTTCTGTGATGTCTTGAGCCAACAGCCAGCCTTTCTAAGCGTTTGGTTTTCTAGTACTTACCATGCAGAAGAAGAGGCCAGGAAATGTCTATCCTGGCTTCTAGACACCTCTTATCCATGTTCTCAAATTTGTAAAAGAAACACTACTACACGTGTGTTTATACATTGACCCTCGCACACTGATAGTGGGAGACTTCAGTGAACAGATTATCCAGTGTCAGAAACCAACTTCAACAAAAATACTGCTTACCAGGGTATGGACATGTGGACCAGGAAAATAGTAAAAAGGGTGAAGACACGAGTGAGAATAATAAAACAGAAAGCATAGGATAGTACCAGGAGGGAGTTCCAGTGAATATTGAAAATCACCACATTTAAGTTTCCATACACTTTTATACCACAGTACTACAGGTGGAAGAAGACAAAAGACTGCTTTAACATGATGCAAAGGGCAACTAAAACAGTTACTTGCTTCAATACTTTGAGATAGCAAGTTGTTTAGGCAGTGAATCCACCCTAGACCAAGAATCCTGAAAGGCAGTTACTCCCAAAGTCAAACCTCCCATTTCAAAAGTAGGAGCAGAAGTATGCTTGAATTTCCTGAACATTGGTCAAAGTAGAGTGGGCCATCTTAATGTCAAAAGAACCAAGTAACCACACCCTAGGTCAGGATGTGTAGCCCCGTTTGTTGTCAACAAGTTTGAGCAACCTCAAACTCTCTGACCTTCAGACAAGGTGGAAATAGGTTCACATTTTTGGGCCTCCACAAGCCAGACAAAACCTAAAACAGAGAAATACTGAAACTCAAAGACATTGTAAAACAAATGGACATAGCAGATAGTTACAGAACATTTCACCCAAACATAAAAGTATGCACCTACTTCTCTGCACCTCGTGAAACTATTTCCAAAGTTGACCACATACTTGAAAGCAGAGCAAGTCTCAACAGATAGAGAAAATTTAAATAACTCCCTTTATCCTATCAGAACACCACAAATTAAAGCTAGGTATTGGGGGGAAAGATATCCTGACTTGTTGTGAAGTCGGGCTATATCTGAAACTGGGGTGTGGTAGGAGATGTTCCCCTTGCAGTATATGGCAATCCCGTTTCTCTCCAAGAGAGAGCCATTACAGTGGAACTCTGTTACACCCCCTTAAAGGCAGCTTCTCTGCAAAGGTATCTGTTTCTTTTTGTTTTGTTTTGCTTTGCTTTGTTCTTTTTTTTTTGTTTGTTTGTTTTTGTTTTTTTTTGAGACAGGATTTCACTGTAGCTTTGGAGCCTGTCCTGGAACTAGCTCTTGTAGACTAGGCTGGCCTCAGACTCATGGAGATCAGCCTGCCTCTGGCTCCCAAGTGCTCTCTCATTAAGGTATTGGTTTCTTATATCTGGTCCGAGATGTTGTACTTTTGCTTTACTCTGCTAAATGGGAAACTTCTGCAGAAATGTCACAATCTTCTCTGACTCCATCGACAAGTTGTTTCTTTTTCTCTTCAGCCCCCTTAAGGAAATGTCTCAGCAAAGGTTCTGCTCTGTGCCAGCAAAAGAAAATATTCATCCAAATCTCTTTAAAAAAAACTATACTAATGAAGAAACAGCATGGTATAACATTAAAAACAGACACACTAATCAATGAAATTTAATTAAAGACCCAGATATAAATCCAAACACATATGGACACCTGTTTTTTAACGATGAAGCCGGAAATGCACACTAGAAAAAAAGACAGCGTCTTCAACAAATGGTGCTAGCCAAACTGAATGATTGCATGTAGAAGAATCTAAACAGATCCATATTTACCAACCTGCACACAACTCAGCTCCGAATCGATCAAAGACCTCAGCATAAAACCAGACACACTGAACCTGACAGAAGAGAACGTGGGCATAACCTTGAACACGTTGGCACAGACTACAACTTCCTAAACAGAACACCAGTAGTGCAGGCTCTATAATAAACAATTAATAAATGGGACCTCATGAAACTGAAAAGTTTCTGTAAGTCAATTGGACTAAGTGGCATTTTACAGAATGGGAAAAGATCTTTATAAACTCCATTTCTGACAGAGGGATAATATTCAAAATATATAAAGAACTCAAGAAACTAGATATCAAAAAACCAAATAATCCAATTTAAAAATTGGGTACAGATATAAACAAAGAATTCTCAATAAAAAAAAAATCTCAAAAGCCCGAGATACATTTAAAGAAATGCTCAACATCTTTAGCCATCAGGAAGATACAAATCAAAACCACTTTGAGTTTTCATCTTATTCCCGTCAAAATGACTAATGTCAATGATGCAAGTGTCAGCTTATGCTGGCAAGGGTGTGGAGAAGGAGGAACACCCCTCCACTGTTGCGGGGTGAAAATTTGTACAGCCACTATGGAAATCAATAAAGCAGTTTCCCAGAAAACTGGGAATTGATCTATCTCTCTCTTGGGCATTTCACTCTTGGGCATATACCCAAAGAACAGTTGCTCAACCACATTCACTGCAGCTTCGTCCATAATAGCCAGAAAGTGGAAACAACCTACATGTCCCTCAACTTAAGAATGGATAAAGAAATTGTGGTATGTTTACACAAAGGACTCAATTGATAAAAACAACATCGTGAAATTCACAGGCAAAGGAATGTAACTCGAAAAAAATCATCTTGAATGAGATAACTCAGACTGAGAAAGACAAATATGTATTCACTTATAAGTGGATATTACTCATTAAGTAAATGATAACCAAACAGCAATACTTAGACCTGCAGAGGTTAGGTAGAGGAGGGGTCCAGGGAGGACACATGGGTCTATCAGGGAAGGGGAAATAGAATATATTTTAAGAGTGGACTGAAGGAAGTGAGGACAGGTGTGGGCTAGAGTGGGTGGGTCAAGTGGGAGGATGGAATGAAGTGAGACGGTATGAGGGGAGACAGCTGCAATTGGAGGCATATGGGGTGGCGTGGAAACCTACTGCAGTCAACTTCCTTGACTCTGTGAAGGTGAACATAATGAGGACTCCTAGTAACGGAGGATACTGAGTCTCAACTAGTCATCTCTTGTAGCCAGACAAGCCTTCCAGCGGCGGGTCTGCGTTGCATGCAAACACCCCAGGCTGATGCTAAAACGAAGGCTTTGTAACAGCACCACTTCCTGTTCACGCTGCTTCCTGAACAGAGATGCATGATGGCAGGCCAGCTTCCCGTCCTGCACCGTGACTCCCTGGTTTACTGCCATGTTTTCCCTCCCACGATAGACTATCTCCCTCTGGGGCTGTAAATCTAAACAGACCTTTTCTCCTTTAAGTGGCTTCTGTCACGGTGTTTTATCATGGCAAACAAGAAGGAACTGAAACACACAGTGCGCTTGGTACTCAGGGAATTTGCTGAGCAGTACGCTCAGGATCAACACTTTCAAGTGGATGAGGAAAGCAAGAGAAGAAGAAGGAGATATTGGTCTGTGTTAAGGATGTGGCACAGCCTCACTGTAGCACAGCTCGGGAGCTGGCAGACACTATGCAGTTTGTTTCCATAAACAAAGCAAGTGCTCAGGCCTTTGGACTTTGCCTGTCACTGGCCACTTATTGACTGTGGGGAATTTTTCAAAGGGGCAGGGATGCATCAACTTGGAGAGGCAGCTTTCTATAGAAAAGGAAAATTCTTGAAAAAATATCCGAACTATGAGCTACATAATTTGCTAAAAACAAAGGACAGGTAAGATTTTTGGAATTCTTTTGATGGCCTTATTTCAACATTGTGGATCTTGTAAAGGGATAGTGTAATACTGTTTTAATATATGTGGCATTGCCTTAGAGTTTTACTGAAAACTATTCCTATAGTACCCATTCCACAGCCATGGCTGTTCTGAGAACTGTAGACAGAGCAGTACAAAGGGCAGCTCACCATGTACTCCCTTGTCTTAGGAAAGGCCACACTGCCATTACAGTGTGGACACCACCGGCACCCAGCAGGCACTTTCCTAGATTGCCAAGAGAAACATAATTTCTCAACAGGTCTTCTGCCTTCCTTTAAATAAATCAGTACAATTGATTATGTTCTTTGACAATTCCATACATGTATACAATACAATATGCTGAGATTACTTTCTCCCCTGGCCTTTTTTTTTTAATCATCCTCCCATCCCTCTCAACCCCCCTCCTCCATACCTGCTCTTTTCCCAAATTGATGAGTTTGGTTTTATTCTGCGACCCACAGTGTATCCAAGGTCATCTATAGGACTATTGGATTGGCGCTATTTACTGGGGCCCAGGGAGGTCAACGGTGGGTCCACCACTGAAGGCAGTGACTCTCTGTCTCTCTGAGTTTCTCTGTAGCAAATATGTCAGCAGCGAGGGTGGGCCACCTTGAGCTTCTCCTCACCCATGCCTGACTTTTGGAGAACCTGTTCTTATTCAGACCCATCATATTCTGCCTCCCGATTTACCCCTCATCCACTCAACTTGCCTGCGCCCACCCCCTTCGTCTTTTGTGATCAAACAATACTGCATTATGCTGATGCTGGGAGGGGGAGGGGGGACCCGAACCTATACTAATTCCCAAGTGAAGAAGAGAAATTATGCTCGTGGCCTGGACTTGAAAGCTCTCTGTGCTTCAAACTTGCCTCTCAGTGGCTTTGACTTGCATCTAGCTACTGCCCCCAAAGAACAGCTCAGATGCACACTGCATCTGCCTCGAACTTCAATGCTCACATGCATCAGCTCTTCCTAGCTCCTCTGTCCGGAATAGCTCACCTCCCAGTGTCTTCCAGGTTGACTTCTGTAGCATTAAGGCCAGGTTCAGATTCGATACTTCAGATGATTCTGGTCATTTTCTCCCTAGACCTCTCTCTGTTTGGTTCTGTAAATTCTGTGGTGCTGGTTCACTCGGGCAGCACGGTACAAAAGTGGAACTTTAGCTTTGTTTGTTTGTTTCATTTTCTGATGCACACAGATGCCCTTTCCCTAGCAGAATGGCAAGTTTCTTGGGAACAAAGACCATGATTTTTCCATTATATTTAAATGACCTAGACGCGTATGTCTTCAGTGATCCCTGAAAGGTCACAATAAATATTTTTCAGTTAACTGAATCCTTGAGTGTCTTGTTTTCAAACACACTGGGAAGGGCTCAAAAGGTATAACACTTCACTTTCTTGTAATTTATGTGAGTGGGTTAAAAATAAAAATCCAGTAATATTTGAGTTAATCACTGTAGCAACCACAAAAATAAGTTTACCTCTTGTTCTCTTCCTCCTTCTCAGTGCCCTTGTCTAATTGAGTGTTTAGATAGACTATTTAAAAAATGTTGTCCAAACACAGTCCTGGCTTGCTTCTCTAGCAAAAGTGAATGTACGTCCCAGCTCCCCTTTGGAAATAATTGTGTTTTCCTCTGAAGTTCAAGAAGTTCAAGGTTTCCCTTCACGTTGTGAAACTGACTGCTTCTGTTTCCTTTTCATATGCAGCAAGCTGGAATATAAGGCAGAAGAAATGCTGTGTGCTTTGGGATTTGGTGAGCAAAGAGGATAATAGGAGAGATTGATATGGCTTCATAAAAGAGTTATTTTTAAGTACAGAGAATGCCTATCCCCCTGCTGAAACAGCCTTTAGAAAATATTACCAGGACGGAAAAGCCGTGGAGGCCATTCCCATCACCTGGGAAAGCTTTTCTGGTCCGCAGGCTGTTGCTGCCACCTGCTGCAGAAACACAGCCATGGAGGGGCTGCCACTTGGGTCTTGTCACTTCAAGGTATCAGATACATTCACTCTGTATGCCATGAGTAACTGAAAACTGTCTTCTCTGCGAGTCTAGATGGATCCCAAAGGAAAACAAGGAAAATTCTGTCTTCAGGCCACAGAAGTTCCTAGGCATTAGATCATGAACCAGGAGTCAAAAACAAAACAAAATGAAACAAACAAACAACAAAAAAACTAGCTAGAGTGGGTTTAACATACTCACTGATGTGCTATGCAGTTCTTTATGGTTCTTTGCGTAGCCAGATAGAGCTCTTGTGTCATCCTCTAAAAAGGCTCCTGACCATTGCAATGAGGGATTGCCCCTTCTGGCCTCCAACCTATCAAGACAAGGGGTGGAAAAGACACTCGCTTCTCCCCTCCCCAGAAACGTGGATTTCCCTACAAGAAGATAGACAATGAATTCAGTAGGAAAGCTGGCATTACTCGCTGTTATTCTTCAGAGTTTATTAAAATCAAATATGTTAACCATTGTTCTTGCACCCTGGAGCAATTTTGGACAGAAAATATATCTTAAGATTGGGTTGAAACGCTGTTATGAGATGCTAAGAGCTCGTGTCTGCTAAATGACTTTGTATTCTTGAAAGAAAAATGCATAAAAAGCACACGGGGACTGCTCTGCACGATTTCCTTTGTTTGGATTTTAGAGGCAGCTTGATTGACAAAGAGACTGAAGGAGAGAATCTTATGATATGAAAAAAATCTTTTAGAGGTGAGACACAAGGTTTCAGAGAACAGCTTCTGCATTGTTCTTGTGGCGGTTATACTTAGCCCTGAACCACACTACTTTCCTGTCTGCATTTCATTTCCTGGGGACTTGCCAAGTGATCAACAGCCCCAGCCCTGTGGTAGAGTTGGGGTTTTGAGCACGAATAGGGTGAGGAGCGTTTGCTTAGCTAGAGACATCCACTGACTCCTGAGATCATTACAGAAATGCTGATGTGAGCTGTTCGGGAGACAATGGGGAGAAAATGGACATACTGTGCGGTTTACTCCATCATCCAGATACAGTTTTTCAGGGGTAAGACATCCGTTCAATCCTGTCCTTTCAGATAGCTGCTTTAGGAAACTTTGCTCCTTTGAAATGCCTCATGACAGCTGCAAGAGTTGATCACTAAAGGGCAAACTGTTGCTAAGGTTGTCAGTCACTCATGTGACAGCCAGGAAAGGATGTTAGAGTCTAGACAGGATTTCTCATGAGCCAAGAAGGGAATGTATGTTTTGTGCCATTGCTATGGCCTCTCTTCACCATTTTCTCTCTTCAAAGAGTCTCGGGTAATTGGAAAATCGTGTCTTGGAGAGGAAAAGCTCCTGGACCATTATAAAGACAATTCTAGAAAACTAAAACAGCCCTACAATTGTGTACATGGGCAGAAAGCTTTGCTCAGCTTTTAATCCTGTCTCAAGCATTTCTTTTCTCTTCAGATTAACAAGCATTTCTCCTCTGTAATACCAGTGTCATTAGTGGTTGGATGTATGTTGCGTCTTAGTCATATACAAGGAGTGCTCTGGAAAGCCAAGTGGAGTCCTTATGGCCATGGGAACCAGAACCTAAAAGGCCTACTTCAAAATTGAAGGACAAAAGCTTAGATCCAAATACCACAGTACAAGATTATTATTGAAAGCCTGAGGGTTTTAATAATTAACTGTGTTTGGCTGTAAAGGTTGTAGGAGTTTCTGAATCAAAGACATTGGAAATTGTGGTCCAGATAGGCTCAGAGGCATGTCATTGAAGGATCCCTTCCAGAGAGCTGCACTCAGATGTGTGCACCTCTGTCTACCCAAGCTTTGTGCATCCTCAAGTGTAGAGTAACTCCTATCCATCCAATGCCCTTGAGGACTGGTTTCTTCTCAGCAGTTTGTCATCTTTTTATCCTTTCCCCTTGTGAGTTCTGGGGGACTTGTCACCATAATGTATAACTTCTGCAATGGTAAAGTCTAAAACGGAGACCAGCATTTCTGAAGACCTATCAAAGACTCGATGCTGAACAAATTTTTAGTGGTCTGTACCATGCGGTCAGGTTGCTGATGGGAGAATCTTCTTTAATGTTGAGGATTTCATGAGCCAGGTAGAGATGATGCCCTAGGGTACCTCTACCTGAGGCATCTCCTCCTTTCCCCATTGGAGATTCACCTACATGGAGACAAAGGTCCATTTCTCCTCAGAGGGAATGTCAAAGCTCTTACTCTACTCAACCAGACTAAATGTAGGAGGCTGTTTGGAGTTATGAGGTTAATGTTAAAGAAAAATTACAAATGTGACTAATTGCAAAGAGAATTTACGTTTTCATAAGGGAGTGGCCTCTAAATGACCTATGTCATTTCTCAGTGCTTTGATTTCCTTTCTGATAAGGTAACAACAATATGACTCTTATGATGCACGAAGCTTAAAACAATAGTTGTTTAAAATACCCTGGTAAACACATACTCTTTTAAAAGAAAAGTCATTCTATTGCAAAGAATTTACAGAGAAAGTCTGAAAACAAACTACTGTACTTAGACTAGTTATTACAGAAACTGACTCAGAAAGATCAACTATATTCAGATGTGTTATCAGCTTCATGATAGGCTTACCAGGACACTTAACTGAGCTTAATTTGTTGGCTGAGGAGGTAGCTCAACAATTACGAGCATTTCCTGCTCTTACAGAGGACCTAAGTTTGGACCCTGTCTACACACCTGGCAGCTCAGAACCAGCTGTAACTCCAGTTCCAAGAGCATCTATGGGCATCATTGGGCATCTGCGCTCATATTCGCACACAGACACATACTCATAGATAACTAAAAATAATAAAATAAATCTTCAATATGCTAAGTTTTATTCACAGTTAGTCAGACACCTTCAGTTACTTTTTGGGCAGATGAACAGAGAAGTATGCAAGTGTTCATTGTTTCCTTCACTCATCCAAAATCGCATGAGTTTTTCTACACCTAGGGCAGTCGGGAAGAAATCTCAGTGACTTTCTCCTATCAGTGTGTTGAACAGGGTTTTTAAGAGTCACTCTGTGTTTTGTATGCTAACCAAAGATGTGTTTTAAAGAACACACGCACGCACGCATGCGTACACACACGCATGTACAAACATACACACACACACACACACACACACACTCTCTCTAAAGGGACACTCCAGGTGAGTTATGCAAACTGATTACTTACATCCTTCTTTTCCAGGCATATGGGAAGAAAGAGTCAACTCAGGAGAAACCGTATATTCTCCACCTGGATCTGACATCAACTTGACCTGCCAAACAACAAAGGAGAAAGAATTCTTGGTACAGGCACAGTGGTCTAAGGTCACTGATAAAAACGATCCCATCGTGGTTTACCATCCTCAGTACAGCTTCCACTATGCTCAGGGGCATGCCCATGGGGCACAGAAGGCTTCCATCAAAATTCAGAACAATGTAACAGAATGGACTCTGTCCTTAAAGAATATCTCTACCACCTTCAGTGGACAGTATGAGTGCAGCTTTACTGTGTATCCAGAAGGTATCCAGACTACCGTCTACAACCTCGTTGTGGCACCTCGTGAGTATAACCTACACAAGAAGGGATGCCTCATGCTTTCATGTGGCTTTCCCCCATTTAGCAAGCACACATTGACAACAACCATGTTCTAGATTTGGTGTTGAACATGCAGAGGCTCAGCAGAAAGAAGTATTGTCTGATAAGAAAAGTAGCAACAAATCTCAGAATGCCACAAGTAAGTGTGATGTTGCAACAGTGGCCAGTATTACTAATGAGAATGATCAAAGGAAATAGCATACCAGAATCCAGTGAAATGGTGGCTGAGAAAGGAACACCCAGGTCGAAGTCTGAGGAGTGTGTACTGTTAATGCAAGTTAGAAAGGGGGGGGGGGTGAATGACCCAGAAGTGGAGCGGAGGCAGCCATGGGAAATATTTTGCAAGGTTTAAAGAAATGGGAATACGCAAGTGTAGATTCATAGGTAAGGCTAGTGAGGACCAGATGATGTCAGATCTTGTTGGCTATGTTCCAAGCTCTGACTTTTATGTAAGAATCTTAAAAAGAAATGGAATTTTTCCAACAAGTGATGAGGATAACATTTGTAGTCTAATTGTGTTTTGTTATAAAAACATGATCCTGGGGCTGGAGACGTGGC